AGCGACCTAGATATTTTATAATAAGAATTTGATACAATAAATTAAATCTATCTACTTTAAATTTTTGATATAAGTATCTTGTTAATCAATTGTGATTAATATGTTCTGCCCCATAGGATCGACAAGCACTCTTTCTAGTCATGGTGATTGAGTGCTGGAAACAAAGGCAAAATAGTAGTAAAAGTCTAAACTTTCAATAAGAATAGCACCTTTTTTTCAGAAGCACAAGCCTTTGTGCTGAAGAAAAAAAAGTCTGAGGAGTGGTTGGTTAAAATAAATAGTGTTAAAATGTCAAAAATTCATGATACTAGATCAAGTTGAATAATACAACTGATAACAAAGAAAATCTCAGCCCTGTTGCAGATAGCCACAAATCTAAGAATAAACCTTTAGCAAGCAATGAAAAGGATGCCAATAGATGGTTTGATATGACTGAAGAAGAACAAACATGAAGAGACACAATAGTCTCTAAAAAACAGGTTGAAAAAGCTGCCCTAACGGAGAGTAATATGGAAAGTTCTGGAAGAATGATCAAACTGAGATCACATGATGTAAATATACCTGACCTGGTAGATATAGAAATTGTATTCCAGCTACAAAATGTAAATGTAGGTTAGGAAAAAATTCTTTTCATTAATTATTTATACAAAATTTAACTAAAAATTTGCCAGTTAAAAATTGTTAATAGCACAATATTTTATTAAGATAACTGTTGTTTGTATCTTAAGTAAAATTGTTCAGCTCAAAATTTTACATATAATTTGAAAGTTTCAAGTCTCTATCTTAAAAACTTGTAGTATAATACTACAAAAACCGCTTGTGGTTTTAAAATTTAAACTTTTAATTATTTCTCTGAAACTGCCTTTACAACTTACCTGGTAGCTCTAAGATAAGTTGTTAAGCTCACTCATCTGGTCAAAACAAGCTCTTATTGAAAATGTTTGACCTAATATTGACCAAGTTACAGACTAAAACTCTCTTTGCTCCTCTGTAAAAATTTTTTAAATTTTTTCTTTGTT